GCACACAGGGAGACTATCACTTTGTGAACGCAGAGAGAGAGAGAGAGAGAGAGAGAGAGAGAGAGAGAGAGAGAGAGAGAGAGAGAGAGAGAGAGAGAGAGAGAGAGAGAGAAACGTACCTGGCAGTCGCAACGTGCAACCAGCTTCACCCCATCATGACTGTATTGGGCCTTAAAGTCAGTTGTGTACATCCGTGCAAGTGCAACCTCAATGAAGTCCTCACGAACTGGGGCGCGTTCTATTGATGAATGTACACAAGCGACCTTTCGTGTCCAATACAGACATGATAAGGGTGCAAGGAGTTATTTATGGACGTTGTTGCGGTCAGATGCATCCGGGTACGGCTATAAATCCTGTCAGTCAGTGTCAAATACATCGGAGATAGAGCCCATGTGAATACACCCTTATGCATGTCATCCTTGCGCATGGGCCGTGTGCTGTGTCTCATTCCACAAGGATGTCGAGCACAGCGCACAACCTGCTGCACTGAATGTCGTGCGCCCTCATTATGGTTGTATCCACCCGAAAGGACAGCAATCATCTGAGCAATCCAATAGATAACTGATAGTTATCGTTGCAATGAACACAACGCCCGTCATTTACCCTGGATGCAACCCCAAACACAGCGTGTATACATTCCACACACACACACACACACGCAGGCACCAAAGGACAAAGGGACAAAGCTTATGGCTGACTGTACAGTGTATACCGACCTGCTGAGGCCGCACAAAAACTTGCGCAGCTGTTTTGTGATTCTCCTCTGGTGGGAGGCTGGGCCCTTTTGGGGCCCTTGACATTTTTTTTGGGGGGGGGACCATTATTTCCGCTTGTGTGGCGCATGGAGTGTGCGCTGTATGCCGCACGAGCGCAATGCAGCACACCTCCATGCGCCGCAGCCATGCTTTGAACCCGCCCTACATTCTGCACCTTAGTCGCATGAGTAAGTGATTTTACAAATTTTGCTTGATTCCATGAGTGAGCAACCCAACCCACGTCCCATACACAAAGTGGTTCTGTGCCTTAGTGTATCTACACCTTCACGAAATTCATGTCTCTTCCTTCATACACAAAGTTCCAAAGACTATCATGGCTGTGGCATGGCAATCCTGGTGCTCAAAACTGCAGTAGGTTTGCTGGTGAAAGCTCAACAGGGGTTGCGAGATGGATGCTTCCTGGGCCCTAGGGGAGTAGGAGGGAGGGAGGGGAAAGGGGAGTATGAGAAGGTGGGGGAGAGTGGAGGGGGGCATTAAGAGACCCTAAGCATGCATTTGGATGGTTAAGGGCTGAAATGGTATATTGATTAGACAAACGTCTTTGCAGGGCTTGTAGGTAAGACGGCACCAGAGATGTTTGAGTTTGTGCCAAAGACAGCAAGTGGTCAGTCGAGCAGCATGCGTCACGATGGAGCAGACATGTCACGACCACCACGCTCACGCTGTCGCCCCCCACGGTATTTTGGCAGGGAAGAAGCTGCTCAGGTAAGGTCCGGCTGTTATTCTTCCCTTGTGAAGTTCTCTTTCTTCTTGTGCATATAGATGTGACTGTACTACTATCAACTGGAGTATGTCCTCCTAACAAAGATAAGCATATCCACACACTTGCAAAAGATACTCACAAGCTATGTGGTGGTAAAGTAGAACTTAGCCGAAGCAATGGCATGGACTCAGCATCTCATCACAATGCCACAAGAATTTGCTCGTTCTTTGTGCCTGGCACTTGCCTCTCACCCTGCTGTGAGGTACATTCATCGGCCACCAGAAAACCGTTGAAGGCTCACCCCTTTCTTCGCATAAACAATATAGCAGTAAAACTCGTAATCTACAAATGATGTAGGCTTTTCATATTGTGGCAGATGCACCATTGCTAGCTCCAGTCATGCCGACTGCACCACCCTTGTGCGCACGATAGAGGAGGGTTTGCGTCTACATCTTGTTTGGAATAATTGGATTTCCCAAGGCTTCAGGGTTACTCCTCTGCGATCTTTAGAGTGATTTGCGGGTGGGTGTTGTACAGGCTGGTGTGTGAGTTGGTTGGATGCTGTTCTGGTTGGCCAATCACCTGGTCAATTGTTTGGTTAATTGTTTGGTCAACAGTTGTATGGTCCATTGGTTTATCCAAACTGTGGTCCACTGCTCGATCTGTTGCTTGATCCGTTGCCAGGTCCATTATGTCAGAAAGGGTAAGTTAAAGGATTTGATATAGATTGGATGGTGCGTAGGTGGTCTGGTAGGTGGGGCCAGTTTCCAAGAGATAATTCAAAGGTTGCAAGTACACGGGCACTTGTTAGTCATCATATGCTTACTTCATAGTGTCAAGGTCTCTCCTTTATTGATCTCTACACCTCCAAAACCCCTATAGGTGGTAACAACTTAACAAACAGAGCAAGAGAGAAATTCTTAACCCATCCAGATCAATCCATATGATCAGAAACCGCCAAAATACTAGATGATCCCATATCTTTAGAAGAACTACATCAGGCCCCGAGTGACCTCAAACCCAACAAAGCTCCAGGAAGGGACAGCCTCTCTAAGGAATTCTGGATGGCAGGCTGGCACACCCTAGGCCCACTGCTCCTCAGTTTCCTCACAAGAGCGTGGGAGGAAGAAACACTAGGCCCAGCCCTGAGTACAGGGGAGACAGAGAGGATGTTAAAAACTACAGACCCATCTCATTACTAAAAGTATCCTACAAGATCCTAGCCAAACTTCTAGCC